TTTCTATTATATTCATATGGAGTTGTTTAAATGTATCCGTTCTTGCCCCTTAACATGGGGTAAGTCCGAATCCAGAACATCAGCAGCTTTTAAGGTTCATGTAAACTCCTATGATGTTCAAAACATATAGCGACATTTTAATTCCAAGGAGTATATATTAAAGAAGGATTTGCTAAAAAATTGTGCTCACTGTTCACTGTTGCTAGATACTAAGTTTCCTTAAAGTTGTTCTCACTTGAAATGCGTGCGATCTTACCCCAACTTACCTTATATTTTATCGAATTTCGATGACCACATGATTTTGATTTATTTTGTTTTAATTGTTGCAATAAACTTGAAAGCGATAACATTTTTGAAAAGAGAATGAAGAGACCTTTCAAACGATATATCACAAACCTTACACTTCCCGTTTAAAAAATTGGGGATTGTACCTGTCATCCAAAGGGGGTTGAAGGTAGGGGTGACATTTTTACTGTGAAGAATGTCAAATTGTGATATTCATTTGACGTGTTTCGGGATTTTCATCATATGTACAGTAACCGAAATAATGAATTTATTCCATTTGGCTTTTACACACTGTATGAATATCAGAGTAAGAATGAACTTTTAGTACGTAATTGACTACAAAAAAGCTAGTGTGTTAGCGAAACATGTCGTGATATTAAAAAAAAAATAAGTTTAAGGAAATCAAATCGTAAGGTGTAGTTTATGAAAATGAAAAAATCGAAATAACTACAATATTCAATTTTGAAACACTTTACTTAGCAAAATGTATAACCCTGAGAATTTGAAACTTTAGATAACGTCGGATGAAAAATTTGAAATGTATCGTTTCTGCTGATAGTACTCATTATGCTCTTCCAAAACACTGAAACTACTATACAGTATACACTGTTATTAAACTGAAGTTGACACTATTGCTAACGTCTTCAAAACTATTTTTGAAGCTATTCCAAAACAAAAATAATGGAGTTACCGCATCTTTCACTTTCTGCCAACCTGGCTGGAATGGTGTCGACTTGAGCTTGATCACACTGTATAAATATTAATCGAAATTATTCCCAGAAAATCTACGATCTTACCTCTAGCTTTCTGGAGCAACGTTATCGTGGGGTTCTGGGCTTTTGGAAGACGAGGGGATATGGAGAGTTCCGTGAATCCAGAAGCAGGAGACGAAAAGCTAGTTGGAATCCTTCTCTCTGAACTCGACGGGGTCAGTCCTGTGTCACTACCGTAGTCGGATGTCCTCCAGCGAGGCGCTGAAGATGGATCTTCGGAACCGAGATTCTGTATGGAAAGAATAATGGAAATTTAACGGAATCGTCATTGGAGTAATCTGTATTCCTCCAGATTTCTAGTTTGTTTCATTTATTTTGGTACAGTGTACAATCTGCATCGACTTTTGTGTGGAAACTGGAATTGAGTACCCAAAAACACTTGAAATATTGACACTGATAGACGGTGATTGTACTTTTGAGTCAGAAAAATGTTTACTAGTGGTACATACTTTTCACAAAAGGTCGAGAAGATATGAATGACGATGTTTGCCCAGGACATCCCAGCATATCAACAACAGATGATATGTCGAGAAAATGAAGAAAATTGTCATAGAAAAAATGAAAATTCACCTTATTATTTCAACCGACTACGAGTTCAATAGAGGCTGAATAAGTTTTTTAGCATAATTTTCGATTCGAAAATAGTTTTCCTGTAGCTGAAAAAGCAAATGCGCCACTGGAATCAATGAAGTCGCCCCGGAGCGCCAATTAATTTTTACTGTTTTTTTTATTTTATTTTTATCGTTGTTTTAATAAA